GGAGGGATACCATCAAGGTATCATTAGAAAGAATACTACTACTTTTCAGAGATCCTTATATACATTACAATCATATCTCATGGTTTGGGCATATTAAACCCTTTCCCCAGGGTTTTTTTTTTCTTGGACACCCTGTATTTCTCCAATACTATCTGAAACACCCGACGAACATCAACGATAGGTATGATCACGTCAACAAACATTCGCCAATTTTGGCCTCTTCTCTTTGAACACTACTACCGTTTTGGTAGGGTGTCACTAGCTGCTGAAAATTGTCAAAGCGTAAACATCCTTGCGAGTTTTTAGGACTACTTTGGCCACTCAATGCAGACAATCGGCAAACTCTCTCAGTGCTTGCTTTCTGTTTCTGCTAATTGCAACAAACTGTTGGCACACTTATCGTCGGAAACTGATTGGCGATGCTCTCTGCGTCTCTTTACATTGATATGGAAACCACGCTTTACAACATTCCTGTAGTTACACAACACTGCACCAAAGGAAAACATGCTTGGCTTGAAACGATGTCTTTCGACAACTCGACCAGAGCTCCTGCCAATTGAATCCACATAGTCAGTGGCTAGCAACGCCTTACCAAGAGTCCCATTGCTGCAAAAAACCGAGAACGCCCACAGCGTATGAAAAACCTACCTGTACCGATGCGCCATAGCACTGTACTTCTGGTTTTGCAGTGCTTAGCCGCATGGAACTCAGTCCCAGAAGTAAGACAAATACCGAGTAACGAAACATTTTCACACTGAGATTTTGAGGTCAGCGGTGATTAAGAGAGCTAACATAGGCGACAGCTTTGGGCGATGCGCAGGGCAAGGTATCGTGTTTGTTAACAACCGCGCGCACGTCTAGTATCGGGACGAAGATTCTTGCTCTGTTTTTATTATGACCTGATGGCAAGCTAATTTACATACGCATCAATGCTCAGATTTGAATCTGAGCATTGATGCATGCAAAAGGCCTACGGAATTCGTCCTTATGCATCGTTGTGACGGAATTCTGTACTTAAGACTCGAGTGAATGGTTTTGGCTCTATGGCTCCACAGTGTACTGAGAAGCAATTTCTACAATGCACGTAATTGAAAGATATCTGTAATCCATGGCTTCGACTGGATTAGCGACTTTCTTTTTGTGTTATTCTATGCCTCAATTCAACTCCCCTGTTACGAAGCACTGTACATGTACTCCGGCCTCTGCATTGTCCGTAAGCCCTCAATGACCTCGAATCAGCTGAAAATAAATGTAAAAGATGGTGTTTGATGTTTTTATAGTTTTGTGGCTTTTCTTACACTTTTCACGAACAAATAGCACCATATAAATAATATGAAATATTGATCTATAGCCATTTTTTAATTGCTTTCAAGAAAATGGAGAAAATCTTTGGGGAAATTACAATTATGTAGCATGTTTCACGTTTTCCGATAGAATTATCTTCTACAAAATACTCGTCGAAAATACAGTCCGGACAAGAAAATGATAGTCGTCAAAGATCAGCTTTTCATTGTCAGTTTATCATTTACCCAGAAGCATAAAAAAGAGGAAGCAACAAGCAGCTGAAAAAAAAAGTGACGGTAAAAAAACTGCGTTTTTGACTTGAGTCATGCGGTTTGGATTCCAGCAAAACTCGAGTCGCTATTTTTCTGACTTGACTTGTAACTACCAACTTTGACATTCGATTTGACTTAGACGTTAAAAAAATACCCATGACGTGGCTAGGACTTGTAAAATTATGACTTGTTATCAACGCAGGTAAACTTTTCAGTTAGGTGTATCAAATAACGAACGATTAAGTGTAACTAACTCTATTAATGTTGACACCTGGCCCTTTATAATGTGCGACTTGACCGATAGCTGAAGAAAGAAACTTGCGATTTGCCTTGTGTTTGGATCAAATGATTTCTGACTTCACTCGATTTGACCTGCAGCCAAATGACTTATGACTGGACTTGTGACCAGACCAATCACTTGTGACTTGACATGAACTTGCAAAAATGACTTGCTGCAAACTCTGCGAAAGACTGTAGAGTTTCCAGCGGAACGAGTGACAGGCAAAGAAATAAAAGTGATGCCCACTATCTTCAAATTCATGTAAGTGTCTTCATCAGCAGCACCATGAACTATAGAGCTAGAGTGTCCTATATTTTGTCAAGCTTAGCTTGGTTGAAATAAAATTATGGCCAGATCCAGATCTTTCAGAACCCCGCTCTAGTTCGCCGTACAGACTCATCGTGTGCAGGATGCTTTTAAATCACCAGTTTTGTCAAAGACAATTAAATGGATGTTTCCTACAAGTTGATAATCTCGAAAGGGTGATGAGCATGCTCTAACAGAGAGAAGGGGAGTTACAAAGGCCATTGAGTTTTAAAGGCATTTGCTGTGACATGACAATACATGTAATGATAATAAGGAACATTGAAGACAAAAATGTGGCATGCTTTTAAGAAATTAAAGACAGGAAAAGGAAATGACAGGGTAAGGTTTTGCACACAAATTAATCTCACGTTTTTTTCTGTTATCGGAGACAAGCTTCTTGTTGCCACAGTCTGCCATTTTCACGGGTGAGGACCATGCACTGCAAAAACTGGGCTATTAAATTTAACACCCAAGGTGCTATCAGAGGACTTCACCAACACTTTTCACTGGTGTTTAAAAAGTTGGTGTTATTTGGTGTTTTTTTAACAACCTACAGTGTGTTGCAAAGTAACACCCGTGTTGTGTTAAAGTATCTGATAACACCAAAAAGTGTTGATTTTAACACCACGGTTTTTCCAGTGCGCAATAAGGACCATGCTCCTGAACAATGAACCCCAGGCCCATCTTTTATTTTCAAAAATAATAAGAGAAGGGTGGATTTTTTTGGTCTATTTCAATCCCTTCCCTCAAAAAGTGATGTAAAACGCCTCAAAACGTAGACCCACCCCTCCGGAAAGCTATAAAAGGTTACATGACGAGTTGAACGGCTCCGGACCGTCACTTTGTGCTGATAACGAAAAGTGGTACCGTTTAATTAGTCACTAATTTGTACGAGAAGATCACCGCAAGAACAATGGTTCAGTTTGTTGTTGGTATGTCCCTAAATAAAACTACGTTCATTTCGAAAATAACGTCAGGATCAGTGTCTTTTCTTTGCTTCTTACGACCAAAGTAAATGGTGCCAATGGCGTAAATGGGCTACAATTTGCAGGGGAGGGGGATTTGAGGGGCCCCCCACTTTCTGGAGGGGGACACTTAGTGGGGTGCAGTCACTGTTGAAACACTGACCGAGGCTGGCTATCACCAGAGTTTTTCTTCTATACTTTTTGAGCACGGGAGCACACGTCCTTGCTCTATTTTTGTCAATGCCACCACGGAGTGGATCATCGATCCTCTATTTTGAGTGGTTGATCTCAGGTCAGCGACCTGGCCATCAGATTTTGTCCTGTGGAATTTAACAGGTCACATGAATGATCTGTGCACTGTGCATTATGGAACAGAAGCTCCTCTAAATGTGCCGTAAAATCCTGCTTTGAAGAGACGAGGTCACTCTCAATTTGAACCGCACCTGGACAGGATATTTTTTATATAGCTACACCGAAGGACGGACCCAGAACCAATTTAGGAGGGGGCAAAATTTTGAACTTTTTATATAATCTTTTATCGCCTTTCTGAGGGCTTTTAAAATTCCCAGTCTTCAAATTTTGGCTCCTGGGAGGGGCATGGCCTCGATGTCCCCCTCCTGTGCTGCATCCTTTAATTTCATTGTGATGCAAAGCTGTAAAAAAGCTATGACAAAGCTCGTTTGACTTTGAAGCGTTTGTCATACAAAGTTTATGTAAATTTGTCATGCAAAACGTTTATACAAAGCTTGTACAATTTTTTCCAAACTGCTTATTAGAAAAGGAATTCGAAGCCAACCACGAGTTTCCCTTCCCACTATGCCATTCAGACCCAGCCCCGCCCGTCCGTCGGATCGCGCACCAGGCCACGCGCTCCAAAGTTGGTTTTGGACGAACCTGCAACGGGTTTTTTCGGATCCTTATACTGCACATCAAAACTTTAATGTGTACGACCGAGGCCTCTTGAGGGCGCACACTGTAATATACGCGCGCGTGTTTACCAGCCATTCCAACTACATGTACCTTACGTTCGCGTTGCAGTTGCGAATAGCACACATACTGTAGGTGTACATGACTAACGTTAGACATGAACCCGTCTAGTCTGCCCGCATTGTTTCTGATTTCCTCGTTTTGGTTTATATAAGACTTGATAAGTACGTGAATGGCGTGTTTTCAAAATAAGCTGTGTATAAGTTCATCTTGATTTAAGCAAGAATACGGTAATGTACATGTACATTGAAGACTGGCGGAGCTTTGCGTGGACCCATGCCTAACCGCTAACTTTACTTGCATAACCAACTGCTACATGTAATTTTGCTATGAGTCACTGCATAGCTGCAGGGCCTACTCAGCTCCGTCATGTCCTTGTCGGCCGCGCCGAGCATAGTGACAGTATTTCCTAACATGCCTACGCTAACTGAACAATGTAAAATGTTTCTCAGCCCCTTACATGCCATAGGCCTATTCATCTTTTCTCTCTGCAATGATTGTCTTCACTTGAGATGAATTTTCTGTAGGCCTAAGCTATGACCGAGAACCAAATATGTGGTATAATGAAAAAAAATGGAGGCAGGATGCGACAATCTTGCCATGTGCTTGCTTTACAAATTACAGTCACTTTGCCCCNCAGGCCTCTTGAGGGCGCACACTGTAATATACGCGCGCATGTTTACCAGCCATTCCAACTACATGTACCTTGCGTTCGCGTTGCAGTTGCGAATTGCACACAGACTGTAGGTGTACATGACTAACGTTAGACATGAACCCGTCTAGTCTACCCGCATTGTTTCTGATTTCCTCGTTTTGGTTTATATAAGACTTGATAAGTACGTGAATGGCGTGTTTTCAAAATAAGCTGTGTATAAGTTCATCTTGATTTAAGCAAGAATACGGTAATGTACATGTACATTGAAGACTGGCGGAGCTATGCATGGAGCTATGCCTAACCACTAACGTTACTTGCATAACCAACTGCAAATTTTACTATGACTGCATAGCTGTAGGGCCTACTCAGTTCCTTCATGTCCTTGTCGGCCGCGCCGAGCATAGTGACTTGCAGTATTTCCTAACATGCTTACGCTAACTGAACAATTTAAAATGTTTCTCAGCCCCATACTAGGCCTATTCATCTTTTCTCTCTGCAATGATTGTCTTCACTTGAGATGAATTTTCTGTAGGCCTAGGCTATGACCGAGAACCAAATATGTGGTATAATGAAAAGAAATGGAGGCAGGATGCGACAATCTTGCCATGTGCTTGCTTTACAAATTACAGTCACTTTGCCACATTTCCATGTCACCCCTAACCACTTTGCCCCTAAGAACATCACCCCATCACCACTTTACCCCATTTCCACATTTCCACGTCACCCCTAACCACTTTGCCCCTAAGAACATCACCCCATCACCACTTTACCCCATTTCCACATTTCCACGTCACCCCTAACCACTTCGCCCCTAAGAACATCACCCCATCACCACTTTACCCCATTTCCACTTCACCCTGTTAGTGCTAGACATGCTAGAGGTGTTTGCCTCTCCAAAAAGTGGGGAGCTCAGGGAGGGGTTCCCGAAAGGGCATGGAGTTACTCTATGACATTCACTCACTGTTGGCTACGTTGGTGAAATGAACAGTTGTACTCGCTTTGCTTGTATTGGGTTTATTTCTCATCCTCTGTTTCAAAGCGATACATGTGAAGGGAATTTACCATATGTGAAGTTGCACAACTTGTACTGGGGTACCCTTGTTGTCAGTATTTTTCTACCTCCATGGTTGGATTAATGAAACAAAAATTAACGTGTCCCCAAATCTGGGCCCCCTCCTTCTTTTCTATTTAAAGCAAGTTTCATTTGAGAAATTTTGTTGTTTGAATTACTTTTGTGACAAACTGGTACCTCTCAAAAACAGTACAAGGTAGGCCTACCGGTATTAAAAAACCCAAAACCGCATGATCAGCACTTCATCTCTGGTGATTATTTGATTCTGGTGAACAAATACACTGTACATGCAACCTGCGGTTAAAAATAGGCCATGTCTATACATTGAACATTTGCCTTTGCAGGTTGTCTGAAGCAGAACCTCTCACTTGGTTAGAGACTCAAACTGTCAACATTTTTTATTTGTTGCATATGCTTCTGTTAAAGTAAATGGACAAATGAACAATTTTGATAGGGCGAAGTAAAAATGGGGCAAAGTGGTTAGGGGTGAAGTGACCTACACTCATGCTTGAGAAGTTTATTCATGTTATATCCCATTAAAATGGCAAATTTCATGAGAAGGCCTACTTTTGCTCATCCACACCACAGGAGATTGGCAGCAGATTGTACTGTTTCATTGTTGTCAGTGGCATGAAAGCTTGACCAATCGCTTCGTGGCTCTTTTTTTGTTTTGTTTTCCTGTCTTCCACAAATGAAAGCCCAGCTAACATTGGCCCAAGTATGTACATGTGTGATAGATCAGTGAGCGAGCTAAAGTAATGCGCAAGACTTAACCGTCACAGTAATGAAGAAACCACTGCCAGTGAAAGAAGTGAGAAATCTGACATCTTGGAGTTAGGTAGAATTGTCGATATATTGATATATCGATATTATTGATATGGGTTTGATAGCAATATCGCTGATGTTAGTTATTTAGTAATATCGATATATCAAAAATATTGGATTTTAGAGAAAACTTCGAAAACATCGATATTGACAAATATATCGAAAATATTGCTACTGAGGAACAAACTTTATTAAAAATACAAAAGTGCATCATCACATTACTGTAATTTTTGATTAGCCATGGCTAACGTTGGTTCTCAAGCTGAGTGAAAAATGTCCCTGTAGCTTATACTCTGGGCAGCTTAACGGCGACATTTTAAGGATAAATTCAGTCACCTATCTCAGTCTCGCGCTCAATAATTCATGTAAACTTTACCTTAAAAAATATCACAAAATTTATCTTCCAACCAAACCAAACGTACGTAGACTAGCACCATGTACTGATGATATCGCTATGTACAGCACCAGCAGTGTGTATCCCATCCCATGTAGGCAGCGTACACAATACTGGTGCTAGAACATGTCGCCAAAGTGAATCGGATCCCACCATTACAGTGAAGGGGTGTACCCTAAGAACAATTTACCAGCAATTCACGCCTGTTATAATACTTTGAATATTAAAATGAATAAAATTTGATATATCTATAATATCAATATTAAAAAAAATGACATTAATATCAGCCAAAATACGATGTCGACGGTGCCGTCATTTGTGAACATGATGTTCAGTGTTTGAGGACAATATGTGTTGATGGTTAAAAGAGAAGAAAAAGCCAGATGTCATTGGGCTAAAAATATGCCATACTTTCTTTATATTTATGTATTTGATTTTCCTCTTAAACGTATATCAAATATTGTATCAAATATGTATGTCAGATTTTTGGCCGCTGAATTCACTTTGAATGTTAAGAAGTGAAATTCATCAATACAAAATATTCCTTCTTTGTACCAACTACTTGGATCAGGGTTTTCACTGAAATTTGAAAACCAATTGCATGACTTGTAGGCCTTTTTTATGACATTTAATGTCATTTTGATGAGAAAGATTGTTTGGTATTACAAACTAGAAAGTTGCCCAGCCATTACTATATAAAAATAACCCTGGGATGATCTTAATCTCAATGACTTTTCCATGACTTTTCACTCAGGCAACAGGATTGCAGTATGCTGTAGGTTTCCCCAGTTTTCCGTAACTTTCCAGGTCAATTTCTTGCAGGATTTTCCTGTGTGTATTTCTAACCTGAGAAATGTGCCGTATGTAACGCTAAAAGTTCACTTGACAAGCCCATAAAAGGAACAGTGTCGGTTTATTTTCAACAGGTTTTCTGTGGTCACACTGTTTTGTACGCTCATAAAATCCTGAAGACTGCAATACCATACAGGTTCCTGAGCTTTCAACAAGTTAACATTTGGTTGAGTGCATCAATTGCCTGACTTTTGATGAAATGGATGACAGCCGTGCTTTAAAACGATTGGCCCATGGTAAGTACATGCACATGTACCTGTAAAGTGCAATATCAGACTGAGACTGGACAAACATTACTGGTTTGGAATCACAATTTAGAAGCAACGTGGATGATAAATATGCATGTAAAATGTGGTGAGAGAGAGATTCAAAATTTGTACAACACAGGAAATAGCCGAACTTGCATAGGATGCAGTGTTTACGTGGTCTTAAATCTTGTGGGCTTTTTTTTACCTACGGGTGATAATTCAGTGTGTATCTTGAATTCAGAATTATCGTGTGGAATCCATGTTGAGAAAAATTGTAGGGTTGGTTGCTTGCTAAAGATTTTGTGAGTTTGGTTTGATTGTGGGGCAGTGTCACAGTGATGTTAATGTGGTTCTGGTTAGTTTGACAAGATATTATGGAGCTGGTGTTAGGTGGTCCATCTCATACATAGCACGTGTTTTATATTGATAGTACTACTTCATGCTTAATAGAAATGAAAGAAAGTCATAAATCTGAGCAATTTTAGAATATTTTGAAGTAATCAACTTCAAATCAAATGCATAACTTTAATTTTGAAACAGATATAAGAACTACAGGATGTAAACAAATTCTACAAGGCTAGAAAAACGCGTAGTTGGTGTGTTATATACATGTACGCAGGCTTTGGTGTTCAGTGACCCAAGATGGATAATTGATCGAGATTTGGGCACTGAGTTGCAGGATATCTTGTGTATACATATGTATGTCCCCACAACTGTGGAACAGGAATGCATCCTTTTTGGTGAATGCCATCTGGAACATACATGTATGTGCACATGTAAGTCTCCAGTGAGTAATAACATGTGTGCATTTAACATGTGCATGTACTTACATGTATGTACCCTCTCGGTTATGGAAATCACATTTGAGTCCTACACTTCTAAAAAGCAGTGCTACCATTGGTTCAACATGTGCAGGTACATTGCATAGTCTGCAGAGACTGGAGGACATGACGCATGATGAGGCGGATGAAAAGGAAAGTGTGGCCAAGCAGCAACGTCAGCTGTTAGCACTACAGAAATCACTCCAGCAACTAAATCAGTTGAAGGATAGGCTAACCTATAAACTGAATCATGGTCCCTCAAAGGTAGACATGTATACATGCATTGGAGCATTTTGAATGAGGGAATAAAATATTTGCTTGGCTTGTCTTAAATGTGTGTTTAAGATCGGCTCAGGAGAATGGATGTGACTATGTGGCTTGGGTACTATCAGTGTTCATTTTCCTGAGTTGGTCTTAAACCGGCCAAGCACATATTTATTCCCATTCAAAAATACCATTTTTTTAGTCAGAGTCAACAGATGTCAATATATGATAGATTTGAAATGATTTGGTTCTGGAATTTTATTCTCACTTTTTCAAACACCCCTATCCATTTTATGGTATATTCCTTGTACAGTCCAGAAGAATCTCCATATATGGACTTGGCGTGTGGTTCGTGCTGTGTGGCACCCAGACTCTTGACCAGTAGGGATGGATTAAACTATGTCGTATCCAGGTGCCAGAGCACTTTTTACACAGCAGGCATCAAATCTCAGTAGGCATTGTCAAATGTTAAATCATTGCCAAGTTGCACGTTGTTGAATAGGGAAACTTTCTGAGGAATTTATGAATGCAGCATATTTATTGCCATAAAAGAAAGAACATCCCTTAAAAAGCATTGCGTGTATCATGTATTGCACCCATAATGTCAACTATGTGTTCTGTGGAGTTCATTAACATAGTTGTCGCTCAACTCAGCTCTCACTCACTGTGAGTCAAAATGTAGCTGGTCTTGCACAGTTGATTAGAGTCAAGCTACGTGTGCTTGTGTGTTGAATTGTAGATACTAAGTGACCTGTTGGGGGATGAAGACGCAGATATTGAAGTCGGCTCAGAGGCCCAGCATGCTGCCGTCACCAGCTCAGTAGCATTTGCCAAGAGACTCAAGACTTTAGAATTCCTTCAAGCTTACAGATTATCAGGTATAGACCTTTACTACACCTCATAAATATTCATGAGCAAATTGGACTGCATCATTGGCCAATTAATTCCCCTCCAACCATGCTTGTATTTGTATAATTCTCATTCATCTGTCTTGCCTATCATACAAAACTTAAAATGAAACTTCAAGTCTCATGCAAACGTATATTGACTGAGGTTATGCAGCAATAGGAGACCAGTCAGCAGGAGAGGTTCTTGTGGTTTTTGTCCTGAGATATAGCCCAGTCGCCCATGTGAGGCAGATGTACATGTATACATGTACGCACCTACAAGAACATACATGTACTCAAGTATAGAGTACCAAAGTGAATGCGTCACATGCACAATTATGTATGTAAAAGGCATTAGCGAGGGAACCAGCGCACAAGGGAACCAGTGCATAAGGCAACAGATGCACATACATGCATACCATCCATTTGCACATCCTGGTTCAAAATGACATCACACTTCAATACTCGGTAGTTCCAAACCAGGTATGCAGTCTCTTGATAAACAAGTCAGTAGTTTCACAGGGAAGCTCTACACAAGTGGAAGTAAGTTGGAATTACCTTCGGACAAATTGTTTAAAAGGTAGAATGCAAGAAGATGCAGAGCAGCCTGTCCGTTGGTCCCTGGACTAAAACCTGAACAGTGACGGTCACACTTCTCTCAAACTCAGGGAACTTGATTGCCATGTATTAACAAACTTAACATCATCCAACTGGAAAATCAGTTGACTTGTCCAGAGGTGTATTTTGGAATTATACTTCATGTGTAGTGGACCCTCAGTATGGAGCCACCCATACCGGGTCAATTAGTTTAGCCATCTTCACGCCGGTGTTATTTGATTAACAGTATAGATGATTCAAATTAAAGGTAAAACACTACTGCTTAGCATTTGCGTATTTGATGTTCTTAAAGGTGTCACTGTGACAAGTGTAAGTGATAGACGTGTGCGGCTACGATGGGAGACATTCTATCAGGGAGAGTATCATGAGCCGTACTATATGGAGCTGGAGTTCAAAGGTCACCTGCAGGTGTACAGACACACGTTGCCTCACTTTCTGCCGCTCACAAGCATTGCTGAGGCACACTTGAATGAGGATTTGACCTGCTTTGTTGATGAGATCGGTGATTTGCTGAATGCATATGTGTCCAGGCAGCAGCAAGTTGCACAACTGAAGGTAAACCTGTATATTCCTTGCTGAATTTCACCCATACATGCACTGCATTCCTTACACATCAGGCAGGTGGTAACATGACTATTATTTATTCAGGGAGTGATATTCAGGGTCAACAATTTATTAACCACATGCTGCCGGGTGCTTTTAAAAATGCAGTGCACACATACGGGCGATTCTCAAGATTATCAGTTTTCAAAATTCTACAAAAATTCATTTCATTTAACCACTTGCTGCCGGGTGGATTTTTCTTGAGCAAGACAAGATGCCGGGTCCTTTTCAAGATTTCCCGTTTTCAAAATTCTTCAAAAATTCATCATTTCATTTAATGGCCATTTACACCAAAAGGAAGGACTCTTTGGGGACTACTCTAAAGCTGACAGGTTACCTTCATTGACTCCTGAATATTTCAGCCAGGCCTGCAGCCTTGGAAAAAGAGCCCAGATTGTGTGGTGTTACGTAAGATTCTTTTGTTCCCAAAACCGGCACAGTGCACTGCTGACCTCTTTTCAATAGGGGCCAGATTAGCATGCAGTGGCGCTGTGTCGCTCATCAATGGGGCCTTGGAGCACTTTTGTCCGCAGTTCTAATCCGTGGGCGTGCTATGCCCAAAACAGTGGTATACTGTTTAAAAACAGTGACAGATTACCTTCAAAGAATGCAAGCCAAAAAATGATGGCAATTCCCAGCAGCAGGTCGGTTGTTCTGAGAATGGTCTTTTGTTACACGGACCAGCCTTTCGTCCCATTTTAGGCACCCTGGCTCTGTGTATAAACCCATGGTGCTCGAAACAGGGTTCCCCGGCAGCAAGTTGTTTAAGTGAGTGGGAGACAAGGGTTTGGGTGACGGTCAAACTATAAGCTGGTTTACTGTTCTCGCTCTTTCATTGCTTCATATGATTTTGAAAAAGGAATTACGTAACGTCTTTGCATAACGGTGTAACACTATGGCCAATTAAATAACTGACGATACAATAGGCAGGACCGTGGTGAACACAATGATTGGATTCCTCCAGGCACTGTATCATTGGCTCAACAGACAGGAAGAACCAGGGCTATAGCTACCACAACTAGTGTGGTGGACGACAATGTGTCTGTCTCGGGCAGTGGTTGGGTTTTAGTGATGCCGGCCAGCTAGGTTCTGGCCACGCTAGCTACGTAACCATATCGAGCTACTCAAAATAGGTCCACCATACTACGTTTAGTTGTACATCGCACAACAAGGGTTTGGGTCCATTGCACCTGACCAGCAATCTTAAGAAATTCTACCCTATTTATTGGGTTCTGTGAGAGCTAAGACATTTATAAAATGTGAGCTTGCATGAAGAACTTAACCAAAGGCATTTTCCACCTCAAAGGGTCACATGACTTCTTGCTAGGGTCATGTGCAAAAATCTAAGGTTCGTGTATAAGAAGGTGAAATACAGAAAAACAAACGTATGTACAAGAGTGTAGAGCTGGGTGCATAAATGTGCCTAAACAGTCATCTTGAAGAGTGACTGACAGTCACCAAGTTAAAGGTTACTATTAACATTCTAGGGGGCCGTACCACGCCCAACCACACAGCCGCTTGGAAGGTAAATTTAGCACTGGAATCACAAAGACAATGGAGTAATATAGCGATCATACTCCAGCATGAATAAATTACTGTAAAATCAGCGTCTCAGCTGGGCTTTTACATATATGCCTACATGTAATTCTGAGCTAAATAAGAAACTGGGGAAATGCATGGCACTCGAGTGACTAAATCTTGGGGGTGCTAGAGTCCCACTAACAAGATTTGTGGGTGGGTAACCTTTGTGTGGTGGTTGCCCAAATCCAGACCCCTGCTTATTTCACATTCATAGTGTGGACATTCTCTTGTTGTTCTCCTGTTGTTAAGAAAACTTGCTAGATTTATTGGTACAGTTTGACCTCGTCTCATTAAAATTCATGTGGATATACTTAAAGACGCATAAGCTCCGACACCAAAGGTGTACATGTATTTACACTCACACAGAATGTAATTGCAGCAAGTGTGGTTCCAGTTAGAGTAATGGTCTTGTTCACATCTGGGGGCAAATTTCATAGAGCTGAAGTACAAACTTTGCTTAAGCGTGAAAAAAACCTTACTTGACAAATCAGGTTACCAGCCAAAACTCCATGTGATGTATATTGTTTTGGAATGGTATTCCCCTGTCTTTTGGTTAACATGACAATCACATAGATTTTGAGCTGGTAACCTTTGTTTTCTAAGCAAGATTTTTTGAGCTTAAGCAAATTTTGTGTATAAGCAGCTCTATGAAATTGACCCCTGGAGTGTTAGTACCAGCAAGACAGTGCCAAAGAACTCACACATTGTCACTGGTTTGTGTAACAGGTGGACCATTCTCCTACCATCATTGACGGTATTCATCACAGTCAGTCATTAGATTACATACAGATAACCCTTCTGCCTAGTGAGAGAAGTGCCCGTCAGCTGAAAGTAGACCTGTATTATGATGACTTACATGCCACACGTCCAACAAAGGTTCATGTCTCTGATTACGATGGTAAGTTCATTGTCGATGAAGTGAAACAGGGTCTTTGGTTTTTTTATCCCTTGTGTGTGGTACTATGAACCCATAATGTGTGTGCATTATCATTGAGCATTTTATACATGCAGGCCTCACAGATTGAAAAAAAAAACTCCAGTATCAACCATCTCGAACAAAATGTCCGATTACTCTTCTTTTCAATAATTCACCTCTCCGCATGCTTAAAAACCTGTTGTTGGTGAGCTATTTTGTTAATTACTCCAATGATGCTTGCTTCTGTTCCTGTAAACACGTGTATTTTTGTCTGTTGCCGGCACGTGCGATGTTACAGTCCCTCTGCGTGCATGACTTTATCTTTCTTCCTGGTGCAGTAGTACACCCACGTATTTCAACTCGGGCAACTTTAGTTTTACATACTAAATATATGCAGTGCAATGAATCTAACTGCTGTACATGTGTACAGAGGAAATGTACTAAGGTCATTTGGTTTTGTAAATCCCAGATGTCAGTGATTCAGCCCTTGTAGAAAAGCTGAAATCTTCACTGAAGCAAAGTGAGCTATCCAAGGCCTTATCTTCAGTAAGGCATGACGGTACTTCACAGCCTGTGAGGTGATCTGCTGCAGCTGTTCTGTACTACGTGCACTTCCTTCCAGCAACAAGCCATGGACAGTTTATCCCAGTATTTGGAAGTTTCAAAGTGATGTGTCTGGTGATCCGTTTTCATTACTAACAATCAAGTTACAGCACTGACACAATATCGTAACCAGCCTGATTATTGTCAAATTATGTTGGCCTGAGTGGTTAAAAGGTACCCATCAGTTGTTTGGGAGTCAACAGAGCAGGGAAGCTTGTTTTGAGTTTATACACTTGTTATCAGAAAGCGCAGTCCTCCAATGAGGATTTTACGTTGGGCCATCCTATCATGTTCAATCAATTTTGGAAGAATAATTCCTTACTGAAACCACCCCGTAAAACACTCGTGTTGGAATGTTGCCTTTGTCTTCCTCAAGTAATATTTAACAAAAGTCACATGGAGATAGGTAAAAACGAATTTTCTTAACGACCTTTCACTTCCGGCGATATCGCACCTAGGGCTCCATGTTCATGCAAGTTTGTTTTCACTGCCCATGCTTAAGTGAAAATGAGATTGTACAACGTTCCAAAGATTTACCTACACATACCTGCAGTCGATGGGTTCCAAATTCCGTGAGTTGACATCACGCAGTTGTTGTCAGCAAAGGTTAGATAAATGTTTAAAATCTTACATAATTGAAGTAGAATATTGCTTTACGTTTATTACTTATAAATTATAAGACTGTGTAAAATATTTTGATTTGTTTTTATTTCGGCTTTTACCGACGGACTACCCTAAAATCTCAAACCGTAAATATTCATCTGTGTACGAGACTGCCTCATTGCACTGTTCTTGATGCATTTTTGATTTTCGGAAGTGATGGGTCAGTTTTTGGCAGGATATTTCTCTTTTAGGTCAGGTGATTTTCAGTTTCTATATACTAGCAAATATTTTTCAAAGCCCCTTTTTCAGAGTTTGATTTTTAGAAGTAACTGAACGAAAAAATATTATAAATTCTAAAATCTTTGCACGTTATTTTTCCTATCCAAGGGTTCCGGAAGCGCGCCATCAGGGGTCAACTTTCAGGCTCTATTCACAATTCATGATTGCACTTTCCTTGTGGTATTGACTCATTTTATATCCATATAAGAAAGAAAATAAAATTGCTTCTAAGATGATATTAATTGTTGAGGGATTCATCCGCCTTTCTGGTTAGTAGATTTCAAAGCAGTCTGTGAAATTTGCCCGTGTTGAATCTTTGGTACATTACCATAGTCCAAATATGTATCACAAAACTTTAACAGATCTCGTTTTCTTGAACCTGCCCACCTGAAATGGTGATGTGAACTAAAGCAGAAAGTGGATGGTGCGGAGTCTTCACTTTAAAATTTGGGGAGGGCGGAGTCTTGATTTTGAAATATCAGTGTTACACTTGAGGCTTGAACCCCATGGAACATATTTTTGCCAGGGAGTGCCAAGGATTATATACATTTATGTCAACAAAGGAGGGGATGTTTTACAGTCAGCTCCCCGTCCTTAAATTGGGGTTGCCACAGCACCCACACCACCCCTTGATTCATTTCTCTAGACTTGTTAAACTTATCCTTGTAGGTATTTAGAAAGCAACGGTCCAGTCTCTACACTGTTTTGGCCGTACATTAAAAATGAAAATATTTTCTTCTGTTTATTCTCATATTTGTTTTAAGTCACAATGCATAGAGCCTGTACGTACTTACGATTAATAGTTTAGATTGCTTCAGTTAATAAAAACTGTGGGCAAGGTGCACATATCTGTTGACATGTGCCACTAGAAGCCAGCAGAAATACCCCAGCAATTGAAAGCCTGAATGGCTTTTAATGAACAACAGCAGAGGGAGGTACAGTTGGGAATTGGAGGACAGATAGAGTTTAATTTAGCCAGGTATAAAAGTCCTGGACAAGTACTTGTAAGCCAGGAGTAAGGGATATTCATGCAATGGTTAATTACCACTCAAGTGTAAATGCAGTTTGACGTGCACACTGCTTAGTTATATAATACAAGAATTAGGTTTAATCACAGACCATTTACCCAGGGATGTGCAACTTAAGCTCAGAGCTGGTTCAGTGTGTGTTACGGCTGGCACAATATCAAAGCAGAAATTAAATTGGATTATGTAACACTTTCTCTAACAAACATATATTCCTGTCTACCACTTTGTTTTCTTGTAATATTTTAAGTCAGGGTACACCCTGTCTAAAAATATGCTGCTCAAGATATTTCATCCTATACATTCCGAGAAAAGTGAACTACAAAACTGGGAATTTTGCCTCATTAAAACTTTGTTTGTCCTTGAAATCAATGAGTGAAGATTTATTCGGCAAAGTGAATAGATTTAAGCACCACGTTGTCTCGGCATAACCACGGCTGCACAGTACATGCTGCAACCCGTGTCATGTGGTCGCAAGTTTTTTCAAGAAAGCCGAGAGTGCCTGCGGGGGTAATAACAATCCGTAACATGTATGGAATCAAGGTCGCACATGTGTTTGCACTGGGGCCGCTCGTGGTTGCACATCCCTGGGTAAATGGTCCGTGGTTTAATAAACTGAAAAAGAACTCGGTGGTTGTCTCCGTTCTTGCTCATCTTTATTTTGCGATTTCATTGAACAAAATTTTACCATCACTGAAAGTGACCACATCTAAACCAACAAGTTCATAAAACTGAACACATTAAAACAAAATTGGCAATGGTACAAAGCTCAGTTATTTCTGTTACCTTTAATGTCCCTTTTGACATCCGATCTTTTAAAGATTAAAACAGCCTATTCATTAATAACCAAAGCAAACTTAAACGTGCTTTTGAAAATATCTAGTGGGTACCTGGTCTAAAAAAAAAGTTGGTCCTTGGGAAAAATGGTTGAATTTTACAAGAATTCTTAAACATGGCTATTTGCTTATGCAAAAAAATTTTTTGCAACTACCCTCAATTTCACAGAATCCATGGGGACAAGTTGAGTTTATTCACATAGCTGGACTGACAAATTGAGAATGATTCTACAATGGAAACAAGTGCTGGATGATCTTTCAGACCTGGGCACAGACACAACTGTTTATTAAATTATCTCTCGGCCACTGCAATTGACACAGTTTATGCACATGTAATCCATTGAAAATGGTCAAGGGTTGTGTATCTGAGAATGATTGCTGTCATCAGCCACAAGTGCATGTGCCACATTGCAATGTCTTTTCATTACATAATTGTGTACCACAAATCTTGCAAATCAGCTCTTACCCAATACCATCGTCTTGTGTGACCAGTAAAATGGCAGTGATCATCAGTATGGAAACAGCAGAAACCACTCTGTGATCAACAGTAGTCCAAACATTGGTGCTGAATTTACAGGAATGCATGTTGGACTTTGATGAGAAACAAGGAAATCCCAGTCTTTACAAGACTGCACAGTGTTTGTTTTTATTTTTAATGGCACAAGTATGAAGTGAAAAATGAGGAAATCGGCTGATATGAGGAAAATTGCATGCTTGAGATTTTATCACATTTTCCTTCTCACAGGCAGGGTGAAAATCCAAGACATGAAATTACAAAAGAATCGACTGCTGCAATGTGGGGCATGTTTTAAACCCCTGCAGAAGGGAACGCAGCGTTTAAGGTGTAAAGGCAAGAGTCATGCACAAGCCTCTGTACTGATGGCAGCTACACTTGGTTTACGCATGTGTTTGCCGATGGAGCTCAGGTGACCTTAGGCCCCACACTGGCTCCATGGCAGTGTGATGTCATCAGTATAGAGGCCTATTCATGTCTTAAAAAGCACCTTGTTCCACATCATTTGACAACTGCACAGGACACCAACACTTCTCTGCTGGACCTGAGCTTCACTGATACTTGTAATTTGCACGTACTGTTTGCAGTTTTACAGCTCTGCATGACCCAGGTTTGATGGTTCTTGTCATTTTAAAGATTTCTACAAAACTAACATCTAATAAACTGCTAGCTTTGACAAAGTGACAAATGAAGGCAAGGGAAAAAGTTCAAAGCAATGCTCACCAATTCTCAACTTTCCCAAGCTGTTAGACACTGTCCTTCACCCACCAACAAACTGATCTCATAAACCATGAGTGCTGCTCATAAATACATGTACATATGCACTTTCAAAAATTTACTTGATTTCCCAACATGTATGTATTGGTATTTAGTGAATGGAATAAAATAGCCTATTTAGCATGCTTTCAACTGAAGACACAAATTAACTACTCTAAATATATAATCAACAACTAAATGTATATACAATATGAAAAAAAATATCAAAAGCAATTATGAAGTATTTACTACCGTAAACATATAATGAAGTCGCTGATGCGTGTATGCACAAGCTGACAAAATATTCAAAACAAATACAAGTACCTAACAGAGATTTTTCAACAGATCGATCCCAGTGTTAAAAAGAAAGCTCTGCTAATATACTGGCAACAATTCAAAGAGCTCCTGGCTATTTCATATAATACAATATTTACAGTAATGTGTCTAGTTTCTAAAAACAGCTGTGGCAGCAACATGTACACGTGGGCTGTACAATGTTTTGTGTATCAACAATGTCAGCCATCATTCAAGTCACTGGTATCCATACACTTTCACAACTCCTGTAACTACTGCATAGTGCATATCCATGGGACCAGTGGCACAGCAGATGGCACTACTTCCATCGCATAAACCAGCCAACAATATCTTTACATCTGCTGCTAAACAGTGGTTCAATAACCGATCTTCTCTTCTGTAGGAAACTATGACACAAAGATACCACAAAACAAATGTTGACTGCTGTGATGTAGGACGTGGTAAATGTACACTTATTTGCAGCATCTGGCGGTGCTTTCCTCAGGGCTGGTTCATACGCGCTGTGTTTGCACACACTTAGCGCTTAATGTGAACGCCGCATTTGTTGTTAATACCATCATATTTTCTCAAGTCTTGGCTGCGTGTGCGTATCTGACCAAAGTTAAACTTTTTAATTTGTACAATTACGCATATGCATACATTTGGTGCATACACGCTATCCATTATTTTCACAAACTTTTCATTACGCACTTCGCTTTCCTTCACGCACTGCAGACACATCAAAATAGACCTTCGCGCTGTGTACACAGTGAATACGTAGCGAGTATGAACCGGCCTTCAGGTGTTAGAAATGATATTTTCTGTATCAAAAAGGTCAACGAGTGTTTAACGTTAACAGTAACACCAAATAAACCATTATGTTTGACCTTAATAAACCAAGCCAATTAACAGCACTGTATCTGTATTATTTGTAGGGACACATGAATACTCTAAGTAAAATTGACATTCAAGTGGCCAGTATTGATTTCATCTTAAACAGTGCACAGCAGAGTTCATCAAACCAAAAACTGGTCTGCTTAACTTAGTCACAGAATGAAGGATATTGCTAACCCTTCAGATTTGGAAGTAGAAAACTAATTTTGACATTTCTTACATTTTCTTTAGTCATTAAGTATCACTACAAAAATATTCCCTTACATCTGGGGGAAAAAAGAAGTGGTCAAGTGAGGAAAGTTGGGAAAAATTGGGCTCCACGTTTACAATAACACAAACCAATGAATACATACATGTACACAGGACTACGAATCGAACTGTCGGAACAAATACATGTACACTGCACAAGGTGGAAAAGACAAGTCAATGTTAAGGGCTTATCATTAATACCCCCAAAATACTGTGAAGCTACAACACAAACATATTAATGTGAAGGTCAACCTTCAACCCACCCCTGAATCATGGCTGATGATCTCCTTGAAGTTTGGTTAAAACAGCAGGTATCAGAAAACAATTCGTGTTATAGCGCACCATAAAAAGTAATTCTGCTTGTACAACTGTGCAAGGGCTTGTTTTTGTCAAGACAAAAATGTACACAAGCGTTACGCACTATTCAGTTCCATAATGTAGCTTTACAAGCTAAATGGCAGATGGCTTATGATAAAATGCAAAGCACTGGTCCTTTGAACCGATGAAGAAATTGTCTGAACCAGTGAGTAATGCTGATGCCTGAAATATGAAGAAACAACTATTCGATCACACGACAGTAGTCATTTTATAAGACACCAAGGGCTGGCTGTTTAATCTGGAACTTGACAACTTTGTGCGGCAAGTTTAGACCCGGAAAGGAAATTGGCGACTTACACAAGAAGACAATATTCAGGCATTGCATACAACATATAATGAATGATTTGCAGTCATGCAACAGATACAAACGTATGAGGTGACAAGTTGAATGTGCCATTCTACTCAACTTCATCTCATGGAAAAGACCATTCGTGGAATGTCACCTCATGAAATTACTATTGCGATTGCAGACATTCATTATTTGTAGACAGTTTCATTATGAAACAGAGCAAAATACACATCAGCTCCAAAAATAATATGGCCACTAGTTTTACTTATTCACACTAGTTAGGATGCAGTTGATCTGCACTTTGATCTGCACTTTGGACTTCACAACTACGTGTTACTTAAAAAAGAGGCATTTGATGGCGCATGTACTGAATCTCATTTCATTCAGCAACTTTAAAAGAAACTGTACACATAGTTCAAGTTGTCAGCCAATCTGACATGTTCTCAATCTTCATTCCCTCAAATCTGGTGTTGACTCCAAAAATAACAGCTGGGACCTTTGAAGTTGTTCACTTGTGGACCTGAAGGCAAACTATACCCACATGCTGTCAACCCAATATGACAATGAAGTCCTCTTGTTTATTAATAAATTGTGTTGAAAGCCGGCCCTGGCGTAATATTAATATCAGCAAATGTGCTGATCTGCTGAACGTTGACGGCTTGCTGTTTCTTTAACACAAGCAACGTATAGAACTTGGCAGCAACTTGTTTCCGTGTTTGTTTCCTGGTCATATCAGAGAAGGTCAGCGTGTCTTCCTTTGCCAGGCGACTACGAATACTGGTCAACATTTGATGAGCTCTCTTATTCAGAATCCTCTCCTCTCGTTCTTCAGTATTCTCTCCTTCTCGCTCTTCAATCTAAGATAAGAAGTAATCATTATTACACTTTCGTCAATGCACAAATACCATTTGCACTAGGCAGTCAAAGACTCATATTCAGGGAGGTCATTTACGTCAAATTTGAATTATTCAGTTAACAAGATGATTAAAATAAAAACTGGTTGGAATTTTTCTATAAAGTGCCTATACGTGTAATCTACCCAGTGTGGGACCAAGAGAGGGCGCATCTTTCCTAACAAAAGTGGCTCCTTCAGTGGGAACTGCACTTTGACGGTTCACGAATGATTATGAAATACATCCTTTGCAGCTGCATTGCTACGAACAAGATGGTGCTTGGATAAACACTTCCCACCAACATGGTACTTTTCAACCGATGGGGGGGGGGTCTGCTCAAGGCAGAGCAATCTCTTCATGAATATCCTATACAACCTCTAACTGACGTGTACATACCTCCTCATCTTCCTCCTCTTCTTGCTGTTGCTGCGGATCTACAGACTGTGGCATGACAGATGGGATATCATAATCGTCGTCGTACTCTGGTCCAAAGAGATCATCTCCCGCATCGTAGTCGTCCTCACCACTGGAGACTGAAGCTCTCCGTACCGACATGAGAGACATGTCGGGTAGTTTGGATGAACTGGATTCCTGCCTGGCTCGCATTGACTGATCCTCCCCCAGAGTTGTATCCTGCTCCTGGACATTCACACCTGTGATAGGCGAAATGAATGACCCACTTTAAACATCACCTTTGTATATTTGTAACTTTGCATCGTTTCACACGAGAGACCTACACCAAAATTAACAAATACAAAATGCCACCAACTGCAGCTCCACTAGCCCTATGCAGATTTCACTGGAAAACAATTTGCCCTTGGTGAGACAAAAGAAAAAAAAACTAATTTTAATTTGATATCCTTTTGGTACCCATAAACTGCTCCTTGTATGTACGTATTTCCCTTTAATTAATAAGCATGACAAGATAGAGCAAGGAAAAGTGGTGACAGCACGTACTCTCAGTGGTAAGAAATGGATTCATCTCTTTTGTCAAGTTCAACTTTGCAAAAGAATGTGGTTGTGGAATCTTGGTATACTGTCATTTTGAAAAAAATTGGTTTTGTCAGCCAAGACAAGTCCGACCAGGAATAGGGTTGGCAAGTAATTGAAACATACATGTACATATGACGGATGGAAAATGAGACTCTTGTATTTCCCTGAAAATATGTAACGCTAAAACGCTCATCACACAGATGTAGAACTAAGACTATTGACAGTTGTTGACTTACTCTGTGATAACTGCTCATCTCTCATTCTCTCTGGCTCCTGGTCCTCTAGGTCCAGTGGTTCATGATGAGTGCGCAGGTCCTTGGGGATGTCTGGAGTCAGGTTCTTAGTAAATACCTGCACAGTTTATCAATTAGCCTACATGAGTTTAAGCCACAGGAACAGTTTGGCTGAAAACATTCTGCACACCAGGTTTTGCAACTTTGTTTCAAACTGCATTCAAGCATCTACAAAATGCAGTGCCATCTGAAGTGTGTGTTTCCATTTCAGCTCTATTAACAGTTACAGGAACACGTTTTATTTCCAACCAAACGAGCAATTTTATCATATTCTTTTCCTGCATATTGATTACTTAATAATCATATTGATTATTATTGATTACCATCGGCATGGTGTTCAATTATATGAGCCTGCACAACACACCAGCAAATGCATGTAAACAATGTGGGCACAGTAAATGGAAAAGCCAGCACTCCGTTCACTGTGACACTTGGATAGAATGAACATTTTAGCAAGGTCCTGTGTACAATGTACTAATGCAAGTCAACTGGACACATGAAATATGGGTAAAATGATTTGGACAAACAAAATTCCAAATTCAAACAAAAAAAGTTTGAGAAAAATGCTCCAGGTATAGTATGACAAGTACCTCGGCGCGTGCATACACATTTGTGCATGCATATGACGTGACTAGAATATCCTGCAATTTTAAAATTGAACTCCGGACACCTTGAATTTTTAAACATTCCGTCAAGAATTGACTCAAGATTCAATTGTATTCTTTTGATGCAAATGAAGTAATGCTTTGAGATTCAAATTGGAATGGTACCAATGTGAACCAACAAAATTTCACTGTATCAATTAAACTTGAGGATAAAATTGTTAACAAGGGGCAAGTTCGAGTGACGACTACAGTTGCCTATAGTTTGACTAACACCACCCCAACGATGAATGGTTTCAACTATCTAGTCAACCATTTAGGACCAGGCCCCAGGGTATGGTCACACCGCTGATTATCAATAACCAATTTCATTCATACTGAGAGGGAATCATTCACATGACAATAATCATGCGTGATTTCAGTGACCATGTATGCTGCGAGGATCGCTGCCAAAGGTGAAATGTGAGTAACGATGAAATTTTTAAAAGTTGACCGACCAGGGTCGTTCAAGTGTTATGGAATTGCACATGCACATTGTTAAAAAGCAATCGACTTACTGGTCGAACTATAGTTCGTGCCTGAGCTTGCCCATAGCTGTCTTGGGTATTTCTTCTATCTGTATTTACTTCTTAAAGCATACCTTAATGATTGGATCAGAGTTACTCTGTCTGCCAGGGAGATTGAAAAGCTTCTCGGCTCCTCCTGTCTCTTTCCACAACATCAGCTTCTTGGTGGGTGGGGCTAGATCCAGGGTGGATACAATGTCTGAGGTGTCTTTGAGTTGAGATTTGATTAGGTCTCCAGCAAGTTCTTTGATTTCATCTACAACTAATTTACGTTTCCGTCGTTGTCTTGTTTCTTTCACACCAGCTGTAAAGAACCATAATGTGCCAAACAAAAATCACGAGTGAGACGGTTGTCGAGGACAGTCACTTTACTCAATGAAAACAGCTATTTCAATTGAGTCCAGTTAGGACATTTCATTAACTGTTGTTTGTATCCAACATTTACAATATACATTTACATGTTAACTTGGCTTTTCTTAACTTCTTTACTCAGTATTTCAAAAATATGGATACAACTATCTTAGATCAAAGAGCAAACTCCACAAATGCATTTTCTTTGGGACAAAATATTTCCTACATACCTTCATGAATTACAATCTGTAATCTCAGAACAAAAGTAGTTAACAAGTAGAATAAATTCTTGACAAAATTGAAAGTGACCTGTGATATCAATGGGCTCCAAGGCAAAAGCTTCTTCTTCATTGGGTACAAGTGTAGTTTGGTCTGCGGGGGCTTGTGCCTCAACCATCTCAGCTTGTGGAGTTTCAGTCTCAGCTGCATCTAACAAAAATAAAGAGCCAAAGATAAGAAATCTCTACCAAACAACTACAGTCAAATACTGTCAAGGGACATATCATCAACTTATGCATCTATCAATTGTTCCCCACCACAATTGCCAAGCCCAAGATATAGCGACTGTCACGTTTGAAGTGATGAAAACCCCATCCCTGGTGCAGAATTTGCGACAGTCCCCAGCATGGGTCAGGCATCCCCCATGTCCTAGGTAGGGATTAGAGTTCTGATGCTTCCCTGAGTTCTCCATCATCTCCTGGACCAACTAGTTACTTCAAACCCATCTTGTGCATCCTAGATAAAAAAGGACCAACACCAGACAGAAGACCTTGGGCAATGTGGGAGGGGCAGGGTGAGGGAAACAATTGATAGGTGCATTACTTATTCTACAGGGCGTTTCCCCCCAAAAAGTCACAAACTAGAACGGCAAAGCCGCCATGGCTCGTTGTTTCTTGTGAATTTGAATTTCTTTCCTGTAATAACACCCTTAAATGTATTAAGAGACATGTAAGTTATACAAATGACATCCATCCTGTTCTGGAATGCACTATTCTATCACCAGGATGGTTAAATTCATCTCTGAAGGGAGAGCCTACACAGACGACCATGGCAAAGGACAAAAAAAATGCCCTATTTTCTTTCCCTTTCATGGAGATTACGCAATCCAATCCCTTAAAGTAAATCAACAAAGACTACCAACAAGGGAGATACGCATACAAAGGCTTCATAGTTCTTTACAGGAGAGAGGAATGCCTAAAGAATGTGGGTCCAGTAAAGTCAGACAAGACATGGATGCCTGGATAAGCAGTGCATTTGTGAGTTTGATGGATGGTGCATGATTAAAATTCCTCTGAAGTACAGTTTTGCACTTTGCATCCAACCCCATCATCCCATATGAAGCAAACTATGGGGCAGAGAACCCTCCTGCCTTTGTGTTGGTCATTGTTATACTGGTATCTCAGGAATTCTTTTCAGACATCTGGGGGGGATGTGTTAAGTGACAATAGGCTGGAGTGTGTATAGGGATTGGACTTGTTTTTAATTCGTTTTTAATTGGCGGGAGGAGATCTATTTTGTAGAAATGTTCTTTTAATTTATGGAAAAGTAACCTTCATTTTTATTGTGCAACAGAGTTGTGACAGTTTATTTTGAAAGGGGAATGTAAGACATCGGTTAACTCAAGGAAGGGAACATTAGGGTGTAATTTCAAAAACCTATTAAGATTTTCTTTCCATTAACCGTGTGGGGTCTTTGATGAGGACTGTTTGTGCACTTGTTCTCCTTGGCATCAAACTTCCGTACCATTTATGATTTTCGAGTTGGGTTCACCCATTGTTCGGTTTAAATTAAAAAAAACCAATTCTTTCGGACCAGACCCACTGTGATTGCAACACCCATTGTCATCTTGAATAGAGCCCCCTCTAGCGGCACAAGGAAAAGAGTCGCCAAGTCATCAGTGGTAAAACTACAGTGCAAATTGCAGAGGGGATGAGCATTACTGGAGAACTACTGGCACGCTCCATCAGGATTTACTGGGATTTAAGCTTTTGAAGAGGTGTTTGTACAACTGTACTCACTATAAAAATGCCACGGACAATAGTTTTGACACTGCGGGTTAGGCAAAAGTGCTCGTCATGTCCGTGTTCTTGTCTTAGCACAGCTCGTATTAAGTACGTTTTCTCATAGGAATGTCTACATTTTGAACAGGACCAAAGACATATGCTCATAGTAAGTGCGATCTCGTCTCAAATGTGCTCCTGTTAATCGTGTTCGACTGCTATCCTACTTTAAAGATAAACATTGTATGTAAATATATGAGCAAAATTTCTTCACCAATACTTGACACTGTCTTGCAAATGTGGAGTTTGGTACATTTTTATGTTAATGAAAATTAGACTTAGTGAAATTGCTGTAGTATTAGCCGGGCGTTGAAATCTTAGGTAGTCACAATGGTTATTGTAATAAACAGGGCAGAAAATAAATTTCACTTGTGAAATACATATCTGGAGCAAAACTTATTCCCTTTACATGTTTTGTACACCTTCATTTACTCTATGACAACAGATCTCCTATACTTTTGTACACAGCCAGTGAGGAAAAAAAAAAACAAAATCCAAAGCAGAAAAAGCTGAAATCAGCTAAAAAGCTGAGAAATCTCACCCCTGACTTTGGCAAAATGGTTAGTCATTGGCAACAAAAAGTACTATTTGAGTAGCTAAAAGTGGCAGAGTGAAAAGACCTGGAAATCAGTTCTGTTAAGGGAATGGGATTATCAACTATAAAAGTGAGAATTCTTGTAACATACATACACACTCACCTTTATCCCTCTGTATCTGCTGTGTTGGTTGTTTCTCTGTTGGAGCAACTTCAGGTCCCATGGACACCTCCCCAGCTGGTATCTCAGGCTGCTCATCAAACAATCCTCCACCAGTTTCCATAAAGTTGCCACCTTTCAATTACAATATGTAATGAGGAATGCTCAATTTGAACTTCAAATTCCAACAAACGAACGAACGGAGAGAAATTGCTCCACTGTCTGAAAGAGCTAGGCAAGTATATCATAAAGAAATGCTCAGCTATCCATCACAAAATTGACCTGTCACTATCCAGGCTAAACAACCATTCTTATGGTGTTTCAGCAATAACCCCCCCCCCAAATTAAAATAAAAAAAATTCCTATGAAATGTTTGGCAATTTCTGGGCTAAACAGCTAACTTTCAACACAAATCACGTACTTAATGCACATAGCACAGCAAAAATGCACAGAGAAATACCTGTTGGTGTTGAAAGCTTTCATTTCTTTTTTTAGGGAGCGTCTCGAAAGTCGGAAATGTTTGCATTCCCTTAAGACTGTTCCCAATGGAACACTAGCATTTGCGCACTGTGTGCATGGACTGCTACGAGGCAGCATTTTGATAGGAAAGGCACCCATTCTGGGATGACAACAAGGCCTTCCAAATAGAACATGCCAACAAATCCAAACTGTGAGACACTCCTGAATGAAAGGTTCTGAAACAATGAACTGACCTAGCAATCCTTCTCCCATGACCATTTCCCCACCAAAGCCATCATCTTTCATGGGTTCATCCAAACCAAGATCCATGGGTTTCTCCAATGAAGTATCCAATGTTGCATCTTTCCTTTTGCTCACATCACTAAGCAGGTGGGATTCGTCACGGCTGGTCTTGTACATGGACTCTTCTTGTTGTTGGGCATCCCGCATTATTTCACGCTCATCAAATCCAAGATCTCCTGATTTCAAAAACGACCACACAATTATTAATCAGAACATTTATACAGCAACCATATAAAATAACAGTTAGATTCCATAGGCTGTGTGGTTTCCATCACTGAAATGTAACATTTTGCTGTAAGTTACAGTCAAATATTGAAGGTTACTACCAGTAAAAAAAGGGATTGCAAAGTAGTGCATTATTTGATTTGTAACTTAAAGCCTTACTTGCCACGTGAAATTTGTGAGAAATCAACCACAGTACCTGAGGTGACTAGAAACAGCACAACCTCCACTGACTGAAGATGAAATTACCACTTGTACTATATTGAGGGCCAATTTACACATGCTACACAGGGTGTCTCGGAACTAAATCAAGATCAAAAAGGCCTGTTACGGGACTTGGGCACTTTTGGAAATTTAAGACTGAAAGAAAAATAAGGCTCAAGACTGCTCTAAGTTTACTGCAAATGAAGATCTACAGTTGGGGGAAAAAGTTTACATACACCTGGTAGAAAACATTTTCCTCAATTCTTAGCAGCTTGAAATTATTTTTCCAATTTTTTCTTTATGAGGTTAGGCAAACAGTATCTCATCTTAGTGTTCACAGCGTATACTTCAACTTGATAATACTCAGACATTTATTACGGTTCAAAATATTAATATTTCTGAAAAATCATTTTGTCGTTCAAAAACACTTCAGAAATGTGGTCCCCTGCGACTATTAGATGTTAAAAAAAAACTGAAAGTGGCACTAAGTATTAGGGTTCAAGTATGTAAAATTTTATTTTGTAAAGAGAAATATGAATTATATGTATGACTCTGGGTGATTTTATTTGACGCATATGCCATGCATATTAAGTGGAGACTCATCTTGTCTGTCCTCATGAAAAGAAAGGCTGGTAGGAATGGGTGAAGTTGTGAAATTGGAGGAAAACTGTTTTTGTTCTACCAGGTGTATGTAAACTTTTTGCCCCAACTGCATGCATCAACGTCAAATGGAAGCGGGGAAAGTAAAGATTTGGTAATTTCCCCTCATTGAAAAGATGAGCAGAAACGTGCAAAGAATGCCCACGTATACTAACCAAAGCCATCATCTTGTGCCAGAGTAATGGATCCCAAGTCTTCCTTCATTGTAATCTCTTCAACTCGGCTCTGGTTCAGAGTAAACTGCTTCTGTACTTCTGCATCGCTGTAATGAGAAGGTGATCACAAAATGCCACTTCTAATATTTGAGTCTGGATTGTATGAGCAATTGAGTCTAACTCACGAGTACTCAGTTTCCAATGAAAATGATTCATATCAATAAAATTCAAACAAATCAAAAGTTTATTTTCCCCCACTTATTTGTTTCAACCCTAATTGCTACAAACATTGCAGGACTTAAATCTTGCTGTTTGATTTTGATGCCTATCAATTAAACTGCAATTTGAATTTGTGAGATTAAGCACACGTTAAATGACCGTGTCCAGTAGCACATGAATAAGCCTGAATACTTCCAGGATGAGTGAAAACTCAGTTTAAAATTGGAAGATTGAGGCAGTTCAGGTTTAGAGTTGCTACGCATTTAGCTTTTATGTCAGATTTGTTTATTCCAAATCACTCAAAACCATGCAGAACCACATTCTTCATGTTCTCACACGTACATGTACTTCAACAACACTTGAACATTAAGCCATGTTTCTTGCTGTGATTACAGTTTATGCACATGACATGGACTAGTGTTTCTGAGTACATCAGAAGGTTATTAGATGTGCAATGCAGTCCTTCCCTGACTGGCAAAATGCACAGACGTGTTTGAAGGATCTCAATGGAATGACTACCTAATGATACAGGTGTCAGTAGGTTCTAAAAAGATTTATTATTGCAGCATTTGAGTTGTTTCTAAATTGTTCCTTCCAAGCTGTCTACGAAGTTTAATGTGGTTAACTGGTTACATTTTAAGAATTTCTGCAATTTGGTGAAAATAGAAAAAAAAAACGGAACAGTAGACATGAATTTAGCAAAAATTATTACTTGAGGTCAGGAACTGATGTATCAAAGTCATGGAAGACTTCTGGCAATGTGATCGCAGTGAATGCTGCCTCCCGATTCTCCTCTGGAAGATCAACTACTCCAGGTCTGAATGCCATCTTGATCTTAACAAAAGCCTCATTGCAGTCAGCTAGCAGGTACTTGGCTTTGCGACTATGTATACGCACCACCCCTAACAGCAAATGGCCTGATGTCCTCAGTGCCATCTTTACCTGCATTTAACACACATGTACAACAGGATCTAATGTGGGAAACGACACACTGTATGATGCAGTGGTCAAAGAAAACATACCAAACACAACACAAACTAGACAGGTAGAAATACTATTGTTCTTAAAAATTATAGGGTTCTCTGGACATGTACACATTTGGGGCACATTCTGCCAAAGAAACTTTTTTAGGTACAGTGGTAAGAATTCATGCTCACTCGCTGACTTTTGCATCTTTGAGATACGGGCACTGGTCATGTGACACTGCTGGTGTACGCTATTACCAATGCCACCCTAGACAAAAAGTCAAGATCACTTGGTGCTGGATAGCATAATTTGTTGCCTGAAGCATCGAATTTTCTCTTTCAACAAAAATCTGAGATGGTCGTCTGGTAACTTGTGAAAGGAAACTCTTTCTTCAAGTTACTTCATGTACTTACCTTTGGGTGAATGATGCTGTCCACGCACGAAGGCACATTGGTTTCAAATACATGTGCCTTGGTCAACTTCTTGTCCCAGTGTGCAGCCAGCCATATCCTGGCAAGTGGGCCTTTCTTGCTCAGCACAAAGTGTGCGTAAAACATTGTGCAGTGTAGAGGTAGCCAGAGAGTATTTCTATGTTTATATCTGGGGGAAAAAAATAGATATGGGGGTCTTCTTGGAATCTGATGACTGAATATTTAAAGCAGGTAATTCTGTTGCATGCACTGTACTTCCTATACACATATAGGACAGTGCTGAGGAACTACAGTGAAAGCTTGATGAGTCAGACTCAAACAAATTGAGACTCAATTTGTGTGAAGTACTTCTTCACTCACTGCCACATGTGTGAATAACCTGCTCGCTAAAAAGCCTTCAGCAGCACCTCTTGTTAAAGAGGTACCCTAAGAGTGCCACTGCTTTTGAATTGTAGGCTTTGGAGTGGCCCTCAAACAATAAATATAAAGTGGATTTACATGTACTTGGATCTGGTATGGACAAAACTAAGAAGTATTTTCATCATGCGCCCACTTGGTCCAAAGCCCAAAATATGTACTGTCAAATTGCAGTCATGCTTATGTTGAATTGTGACGTCACTGAATGTATCGCTTCCTTGTGCCCAAGGATGGCCCCCCCAAAAAGTGATGACTTCGTGAAAACACTTATTACGAGTCCTATTTTCTTATACGGCTCACTCACCCCATCCGGTCATTGATCTACCAATACAGGTGATTTTCAGTTTGTTCCTGTCAGTGAAATTTTGGTTTCCATTTGGTGGTCTCAACACAGCCATTTGTTATCTAAAGCAATTAATTCTCAATCGTTTGACAGGTAATAAACACAGTCAGGATCTGTTTGATCTGGGAATCAAACAGTGATAACCACGGTGATTCCAACTGCTGTTGTATCAGCAACGTGTATCACCCGTAGTGTAGCCTTGTGTATGTGTGAACGCTATGAATACGTTGGAAAAAAACAGCCGTCCAGTAATTTCATGACAGTGGGGAGTAATGGTTGTGCAGTGCAGCAGGGAGTGGATGAGCGAATTGTGTGTGCTAGGGCTGAGTCAACTCAAATAATTCACTATTCGAATACTTGACCTTTAATTCAATCGAATATCCGAACATTCAGTCTTAAAAAACGGGCAGATGATTGATGATTAAATAATGTCAGTTGCAATAATGCACACAATTGTACATTATAACTACAATAGCTTCTCACATCTAGGAATATCTCCATCCACGACTGAACAAGATTTAAGACAAAACAATACTTCTTGTCCTGTTGAAAATTTCTATTCCTCTATAAATTTTTAAAGAATTTACTTTTTGAATCATAAGAATTCTGTGGCTTTTCATTTGAATCTGCTTGAAATAAGCCTCCATAAGGCCTAATGCCATTTTTCTCACTTAAGAAAAAAGAAAATTCTCCCTTCCTTTTCATAAATTTTGCATTCAAATATTCAAATTCAGAAAATAATATTCGCTAATCAATTGAATATTTGGATACAGTAAAATCTCGATACCTCAAATCTTTGGGGAATGGACAAAAAATTCGAGTGATCCGAAATTCGAGTTAAGAGAAGGTCCTGATTTCTTTTGAAGTTAAGTCATTATTAGGATGTGTATCATAACATGTACCTATACGCTGACGCAGTTACCGTAAATCTCCGTACGTCTACAATGACTTTTGAAATGACATTGTGGTTATTTTATACTTCGGTGCCACAAGTTTTTGTTCATAGAAAGACATTTCTGCGGAGGATTTTTGTTGTCAATCGGCCGATAAATAACACATTACATGTACTGCAAATCATTTAAACTGTGCACCTTTGTGTGGCAAATCTTTCGTGTTGTGCATGTGTAACGCATTGTGGTGGTCCCATTTCTGATACCGCCCACTGCAACGCAGCACCTTGCACATGCATACTCAACGGGGTTTCCCGATGAGTTAGACGACTTTTTTTCATCACATGAGGGCGCACCTTTTTGCGCTTCAATAAAATTTCGTAAAAACAAAAATGCTATTGGTGTCTGTTTTTTTTGTTCTTCGTTCTTTATTTTCAAACTTTTGTTTATTTTTTGGGAGTGAGATTTGGCTATGAAAAAGCTCTGACTTGCAATTACGTGGTTGGTCCACTGCACGTGAGCATGCTGTGGCTTGTGGCTCTAATTGGGCAGCCATGGCACGGGCGAGCGCAAGCAGTTGAGCCAAACCATTAGGCTAGACTTAACTTCCGTACGTGCATGTGGCGCGTGCGGCATACACAAAGATCTCCAATGCATTGCCGCAGCCATCGCAAAGAGCCATCAGTTGGCCTGCCGACGCACTGGCTACAATGGGCCCACGGTAACAATTGGGCCAATTCCTGCAAGTCGGATTTTGCGATCACGGTGTGGTTACGTGTCTAGATTGATCATCATTGTAGCGCGCTTGCAAGTGTTCCGGTGTGAAAAGACGAAGTGTGCGTGTCAGAAATGATTCATAACTAGACCCGCGTTCTGTTTAAACTTTCTGGAAGTATATTGGGCCGGTTTCTTTTGGATCGGCTACACAAAAACTTTGAAGTAAACAAATCCGGCAATGTGAGCAGTTCGAGTTACGGATCTGTTTCTGTACATGAAAGCCTATTCTTTCGGCGGGAATTAATTATTCTTTGAGTTAGGCGGAGTTTTGAGTTAACCGACTTTGAGTTATCGAGATTTTACTGTATTTGGCACACCCCTAGTTCACACCACACACCACTCATCTGGCAATATTTTACACTCAATCCCCAGACATGCCAGGCATTGCATGTATTTCGACTTGCTTTTGTTTAATCTGAAAATCGTAGCCAGTGATTCTAGGGGTATATTTGCGCGTGGCCCTGCGTTCTATAGTTTCTCCAAGATCCCAACGGTGTTTCACTTGTCAAAAGTGATCGAGATCCAGGCTTAATCACTGTTAGCGTTGTAAATGAATGACCACGTTGAGACAACCAAACAGACACCCCACCTACAAAGTTTGAATGAAATTTTATTTTGGCCCAATTTTCCAATTGTTTTTTCTGACTAAAATGCAAAACGAACTCTAAAAATGCGTCCCAAAACCACAAAAACAATTTCCTATCACACTTGTCATCTGGTCGTGCTTGTATTGTAAGTTCAGTTGGTTGGGCCTAGGCCTAGCTCTACTAAGTGGAGCGTTAGTGTTCCTCTTTTACGATTTGGACGGAATCGTCATACTAACGCTCCAAGTCTGTCCATTTAGTAAGATGAAAACGGTTCTAAAGACTCACCAAAAATACCTCTATCAACACCTACTGGCTTCATAAATGCCAACGTCAAATGGTTGGGGCTTCTATGCTATTTCTAACTTCAGAATCTATAAAAATAGATTAATCCTTAGCCACACATCCGTCTACGCAATTTCATGTCAGCGTATTGAACATTCCGGCGCACCCACTTATCATCACGGGCGCAATTTCTTTTGCACACGAACATGATTCTTGACCTTTCCGCTTTCTAAAAACCATTTATTGAATGATTTCACTCACGCTATTCAGGTATTTTCAAGTCTTTTTGCCTTTATCCATTCAATCTAACGGGCTCGCTCTCTCAGTCGCCATCTTTAAAATAAGGTCGTTGAGCATTACGTCACTTGACCCCTCATCGTCTCGACGGCTGTTCCATGTCAAGACATATGTAATACATGGACTGAGCGATAAGATACTACATATACCAATGGCTCTTCCAAAAATTTAGCAGCAGTTTAGTTATCTTGACATTAAACAGCCGTCAAGACGAGGGGTCAAGTGACATAATGCTCAACGAACTTATTTTAAAGATGGCAACTGAGAGAGATTGAATGGATAAAGGCAAAAAGACTGGAAAATACCTGAATAACATGAGTGAAATCATTCAATAAATGGTTATTAAAAAGCGGAAAGGTCAAGAATCAAGTTCGTGTGCAAAAGAAATTGCGCCCACGATGATAAGTGGGTGCGCCAAAAATGTTCAGTACACCGACACGAAATTGCGCATACGGATGTGTGGCTAAGGATAAATCGGGAGTGATCCGTGCCACACTCACTAATGCGGGCTAAGTTAGGCCTACATGTACCACGTAGGGCTAGGCCCTCTATCAACATGATCATGTGCCTATGTAGGCCTAAGCCTAAAGGCCTAGTATTAGTAACAATTTATTCGAATTTATATATTTTAAAGAAATTCTGAAATGCTTATGTGACACTTTCTGAGATTTCAAACGCACCATACTGAATGTTTGCCCAATTTCCGGACACCGCCGTTATTGAATTTCGCCAAATTTTCGGACGACATGGAGTGACGAAATTTCATGACACTGCTGTAACTATTCACAAACACGGCAAAGGTTCAACGGCATGCACTATGATTCTATGAAGATTACAGCAGGCCTACAACTGTTAAGTATTTGCGCCACGTTCGGGGACTAGGCCTATGCAGGGTATACTAAAATGTTGTTAGCCGAAGCATGGGTGTAGGCCTATGTTCTTCCAAAAGTTCCAGTTTCTCATCTTACCTGGCACCTTTTTATTTGTGTACAAAGCAGTGGTTTTTCAAAATACTGTTGATACTTTAATTTTCATTTAAAAAACACGGCAGCAAAATGACAGGACAGATAAATATCGTTCATCGCCGTCGCTTAATACGGCAAGTAGCTCAATAGCTCGGCCGTCTTTTCCAGCTTCAAATATGGCCGACGACGACGCATAATTGTCAGACGGTATCCAGATGGAGCTTTCCGTAAAAACAATGTTTTTAATTTACCGAAAAAATTATTATTTGAAAAAAATTATTTTAACAAATTGAAAGAGAAATTACATTTCAAGACCAAGGTACACTTTTTTAATTCCGATTTTTCTAAATTTATACACTTTCAAAATGACCTTCTGACTATTGTCTTTTGGTCAACCCAAGCGGTTTTGCTCTATGCAGCCCGGGTGTCTTGAATTGGTTTCCCGCCCGAATTTATAACATTGGTTAAAAATGAGAAGTGTTCATGAATGTAGCCGTCGCGGCCAGACTTTGGATCGCGGGAGGGGGGGGAGACGATGTTTCTTCTAGCTTCTGTAATTATTTATTAACATTCAGCGAACATTCAGTTCTTCCGATAATTATGTCAAATTTTCGAAAGGGAAATGTTTGTGTGGCTGTTAGGCATGACAGTAAGACCATAATGTATTAGGACCGCCCGCATGTAGGCCCTACTGTATGTCGTAGTGCTTCAACCGGCTAAAGAACGGACTTCAATAAAGGCTATCATCTGGCTCTTGGTGATTTTTTCCCCAAAGAGCAATCAAATTCGACAGGTTAAGAGGGGAGACTTCTACGAAGCGAAAAGGCTTAGTTTCCTCTGAAGAACGGCAAAAAAAAAAAATTCCCATGACCGGTCACGGTATCCGCAGACATTTGTTTGCGGACCGACTCTGAGGTCAGGTATCGCTAAACGTCTTCACCTTTAAGGGCTAAGCTGGACGCAATCCTAAATGAGATAATGGCTTACAAAGCACACATTCTAAATTTTTAAACTTGGTTTATAGGTCAGTTTTCATTTATAACTGAGATTTATTATACATGTAATGGATAAAAATAGCATAGTAACACTACACCGGCGTACACACACGCAGCTCTACAGCCGCGCGTCGAAAAACGTCCATGTTGCAAGAGGATTTATGCAAGTTAATTCGCAGAACTTAATCTCTTTCCTGTTGGTGTGTTTTCTGTGTTCATGGAATTTTATTTGAGGTTATATTGTTCATATTTGAAGCGAGCGTGTTTCCACTAAATTTCGTGCCGCAGCACGAGGTTTATCGCCCGCCACCGTGGTAGAAACGTCGAGAAGTCTAGATTCTCTATTCGAATGGGCGAGGGCGCAAAGCGTCCAAGTCCATGCATTTGATCTGCACCTTTGAAGTCGTTTCTCCGACTTAAACTACGTCCCTCCCTCCATTATTGTCTATATTGTACAAAAGAACTAAAAGGCTTTACTGATGCTTTGGGCCGTGAGATGAATTCCAATTTCTCCAGCGTTGGCTATAGCTATGTACATTTGCATGTACATGCATTAAACGCGGCTTTACTTAGCTCCTGGCCCAAAGTTTGAGTTTCTCGTCAGCTGGGTGCACAACTATTTTTTTCATTCACATGCACAGTGCATGCTTATGAAGTCAGGGTATCGTACGCGTAGGGCACACACACTGTTTTACGTCCAAATGGATTTATACCTATATGTTAGCTGCGAAATGATTTGAGTTATCAAATGCTATCGATATGACAATAAAATTATGTTGTACTATTTACGACACATATTACTGCCTCTCTCTAGCCTCTCTAGCCTATTTCTGCC